GTGCTTTCTTTTCTTTAGAACTTTTTTTGTTTACACGTGGATGATAAGTCACTATAATAATTAAGTTTTCAAAGAGTTGTGCGCCGAATTTTATCGCTAGTGATTAGCACACAGTGGTGCCCCGTCGTGCTCAAATTCTGGGTCCGCCTCTGCCTCCAATTAATAGTTTAAACCAGACGTTCTCCAAATCTTCTACTAACATAAAAATCTCTAAAAAACAAAAGTACATGAAACATCTAATTCTCATATTAACAGTTATCTAAACAAGATGTTCTCAACATTTCCACCATTCCCTCTGCCCCATTTTATATGGTACACTTCCCTTTTTAGTTCAAACCAAAGAGAACGCACCTTTCAATATTTAGAAATAATTTAGTTTTAGACTTACTATTTTACCTTGAATGAGATGATTCATAACCATATAAATGTTTAAAGCTTATTTTAATTCACAAGCTTTAGACCTTTTTGTCTATCTAAAACTTAGTGTGCCCGGTCAAACAAGCAACTTACCATCTTTAAACATAGCAGGAAAAAGAACATGATAGATCAAACTGTCACCTTAGCACGACGATGAAGAGGAGTAACAGCCATTAAGCAAATAATAGTAGAGCAATTGGGATTAGCAATAAGCGCTCCTTTTCCAGAACCTAGCTTCAGATGCGCCATTGCTTCAGGATTCACTTCGGGTATCACGAGAGGCACGTTCTCATCCATTCGAAACGCCGAGCTATTATCCACCACTATAGTCCCCTTTTGAGCCGCTAACGGTCCAAATTTCTTACTAATAGAACCGCCAGCACTAAACAATGCTATATCTATCCCTTCAAAACTATCCTCCGTGAGCTCTTCAACTGTATAATCTCTGTCTTCGAATTTCATTGATTTACCAGCTGATCTTTTGCTTGCGAGGAGTTTGAGTGAACGGTAAGGGAAGTTACGGTCGGAGAGAACGGAGAGAAACTCTTGACCGACCGCGCCGGTGACGCCGACGACGGCGACGGATGGGCCGTTCTCTTGGAGAGACAAGCGGACGCGGAACGGGGAGGTGGAGATGGTGATGGAGCGTGGTTGTGGAATGGCGGTGGCGCCGCGGTGGAGGAAATGGTTGTGGCGGACAGAAAGTGCTGGAGAGTTCATTTTTGCGGGAAGCGGCGGCGGACTGCAAGGGCGGCTCAAGGAAGGCAAGTGAAGCCCTTGCCTTAGCCCCAAATATTTAAAGCCCAAAAAATAAAAAGCATTATTATATTATTATATAATATACTAATATAAGATTTAAACTTTTAATAATTTTTAACATTTGGTAGACGTAAGACTGATTTAGTGAATTAATTGGATAAATTTTTCTCACTAAATTAAATAATACATTTACTTTCTCGTCAATTTTATTTTTCTTCTTTATGTATAATCTTTTTTCATGGTTCTTACGATTTTATTTTCTAATTTCAACTCAAATTCTCTAAATTAATTATTCTTTTTTGTCACAATTGATTGATCCACACACCAAAAAGCAAGTTCTTGTATCTCATTAACTAAGAAATCCCCCAGACAAATGTCGCAAAGTTCAAAACACAATAGATAATGGGCTCGCCCTTTACCATTTTCACTTAAGGGAAGAATTCAATACCATATGACGTGCGCCCAACTCATGCATCATGAATTGCGCTCTCACCACTATATCAAAGTCATGTAGTTTTTTTTTGTGTCTCAATATTATATGGATTTTATTATAAAAGAAGTTTTAGGGTTTTTTAATATATTTTGGTTTTAGACCACCAGTTCTGTTGAGTTGCCCCTCATTGACGATCAATAATTATTTACAGACTACTGCCCCACCATGAACGAACTGTTCAACTAGTTTCATTCATATTTAGTAACTGAATGATACATTCACTGCCATTAATGTTCTTATCATTGTTGTCTTATCTTAATTGAAACTATATAAATTTGATTGAGAATATCAGGGGTGGACAAGTGGCTCTAGTAGGATACTAGTAAAGCCTTGATTTAGGTTCCCAAAATTTTTAATAATAAATTTTATAATTTTATTTCAAATTAGACAATATTAATGTTTGTAGAAAAAATAAAAAAGTACAAAAAAATGTAAAAAGGAAAGAGAGGGGTCTACTCTTTAACAATAAAAATATTTTTAAAACTTTGAATTAAACTACTTAAATCTTCATGTTAGTAGATGCATTTTTTACAACAATATCAAAGGTAACATATTGCAAATATATGTCTAACATCTCATTTATTTAAATTATCCTTTTCTAATATAAATAATAATATTACTATGTGAAGTTAAAGACTTTATGTCATTTAAGAATATATATTATAAATAACAAGTATGAAAAAAATGGCAAAATTATTTTTTTTTGCATATATATGTGCATACGTACTAATAAAAAATTATAAGGTGTATTACTAAAATTTGGTTTTGGACCACTAATTTTATGGAGCCTCAGTATGGGGGCGGAATGGATTGGAGAAATGGAGGAAAATGTCAGTTGAAAAGAAGCAGTGTAATTAATTAGGTAGGGTTTTATTACGAGCCAAAAAATGGGATTCCTTTAAGTCACCGAAAAATTTGACCGTTGTATATTTGAATGTTGGCCATATCCAAGAAGCCACATAAGCACTTTCGATTTAAATCATTGTGATTTGTGGGTTATTAGGTTGTCCTCTAAGCCTAGCCCACAATATGTTTTTTCGTTTTTGCTTTTTTTTTTTTGCTATTCATATAGAAAAAAAGAAAGTAAAAACAAAAAAAACATTTAGACAGACAAGAGTGGGTTGCTGTAGTGGTAAACACCCTCCACTTCCAACCAAGAGATTGTGAGTTCGAGTCACCCAAAGAGCAAGGTGGAGAGTTCTTGAAGGGAGGGAGCCGAGGGTCTATCGGAAACAGCCTCTCTACCCCAGGGTAGAGGTAAGATCTGCGTACACACTATCCTCCTCAGACCCCACTGGTAAGATTATATTGGATTGTTGTTGTTGTTTTGTTATTCATACAACGTTTTGTACATGTCAAAATGTTTGATATTATTTCATTAATAATAGTATTTTGATGTTTGTAACTTTTAAATGTACGAACTTATTTAAATATTCACCTTCTAAACTTATACATAATGTCTTCAGATTTATGAAACTGACATTTTAACAACTGATTTAATATTTATTTCACTACAACATGTAAATTAAACTAAATATTAAATATTAATTCAGTTGAAAAAATAGAATGCTGAAAAAATTGATGTATTGATTTTTTAGAGGCTTACCGGACTTAGGCCAAGATTGGACCAACCTAATTTAGTGTTTTGATAGGTTTTGGGCTAGGACTTAGATGTGTGGTATATTGGTATTGGTGAGCTTATACATTTTGGGTCGTTGGCGTATAAGAATAATGCTGAATAAGTTATATTACTTCTGTAGGAATTAGTAATGCATGAATTAGTAATGTAAGCATTAGTTATGCAGAGATTATTTTTATCCACTGTTTGATGTAGTGTATTGAAAATTAAAATGCATTGCATAATTTTAAAGAAAATTATTTACAAAAATGCCCTCCATATTCTTTAGCTTTAAGGGACTTTAAGGGCAATTCTATCTTTAACCATGCTAATGCATGCATTAATAACTTTGGTATTACTAATACCATGGTTTGATGTGTATTAGTTATACATAGGATAATATCAAATAAGTTGTATAACTAATACATAGTTGAAAAAGTAAACCAAACAAGAGATTAGTAATACTAAAAGGTAATGCATGTATTATTTTCTCTAATGCATCTTACCGGGTAGTTTTGTACAATATGATTACTATATTTATATAAAAAAAAAAAGAACGAGTACTATATTTCGAAAAGAATGATAGGAGTTAGAGTGCAAGGATCAAAATATCCAATTTCTTGTGTGAGATTGAACACTTCGTTTATAGAAATTACTAAGAAGTATTGTAAACCATAATATTATTCATATTTAAAGAATTTCGAATGTTTTTGAGAAAATCCTCTTTCAAGAAAAGAATGTGGCAATAATAGCTACCAAATGTATCAGTACGTGTTGTTTGCTTAATAAACAATAGTAAGGAGTACTGGAAAAAAATATTTTTGCTAGATATATAAAATGTGTGTTTTTAACATTATGTCTAAATCTTATAAAAAATCAAGTTTACTGTTAACGTAGTGAACAAGGATGACCCAATTAAGTAATAGTGGTCAAGAGATAATTAAAATTTAAACTCGAAATCCCAATTATGTAATAATGGTCAAGAGATCATAAAAATTTAAACTCTAAGAGCATTTAGCCGTCTTAGATGAGACGAGGGGGTATTCCTCGCTCAATAGCACCAGGAAAACTTTTTCTTTCTCTTATATTCAAGGCTATTTTTTTTAATAAATATTTCCCTCAATTAATTAGGTCTTCTTTTTTATTTTTCAAGCACACTTTCTTAACCCAATACTACTTTTTTTTTTTATTTCTTTTTTGCTGACCTTTGATTTTAGCTTTTTATTTTTAATTTTGCTTTACCTAACTCTCTATAGCAAAGAAAAAAAATCTTCTTAAAAAAAAATCCCAAAGTTCGACCCCTTTTAAAGACTAATAGTTCCTCCAAAAAGGTTCCACCAATTTTTTCTTTTAGCCAATTGCATTATCAGCATAGATTGATGTCCATAATATTAAATATGAGTTTTCTCGGTAACTTTTTTCACACTCGTATCAAAATAGTTGTGTACTTATATAATGTGTAGTAAGTTTATCAAAAAAAATTAAGCGCCCAGAAACCCAAAATCCTAGATCCGCCACAATAGCATAACACTTTTTGCTTATCAACTATACCCGGCCGAATACAGTACTAGATTGGGACAGGTACAGTACAAAGCTAAAAAGAAAGTGGAAGATATAAAGTTATGGTATTGAGAGTTGGAACAACCGTATGGATAATTTAGGTTGTTGGTTTTGCGAGCCATAAAATAGAACATTTCAATTTTACAGATAGTGTAAACTGTAAACACTTTTCACATTTATGGCATTCTCAAGTTATGATTTGCAAATTTACTCAATCACCTCGAAAGAGTTAGGTTGAACTGTGGCAGTCGAGTACTACAGAACGTTTCTGGATTTTCTATAAGACAAGGAAACCAGGTGTACAAATTTAGTAACATAAAATAGACATAAATAGTATGCCTATGATTTGCTCTTATTTTCCCTTTCTATTAATCCTCTTCTTTGTGTTAGTAGTTCACAGCAACATCCTGCAAAAGTACAATTTTAGCACGCCCTCCATACTCCTCCGGTAAGACGTCTTCACCAACCTCTCTGATGAACTCTTCCCTTTCTTCTTCACTTCTAACAATCCTGATCTGCATAACATAAAAAAGCATGAGTTCTGCTTCAGGCGAAATATGGGAACTTAATTATAAGAATGTTTGATCCAAAATAACAGTAATATTGTTTCCACCAAGAAGAAAATTATGCAGAAAAATCTGAGATATATAGCTGCAGAAATGATCTAGTTTTGAAGACTATTCGTTTACTATTGCATTTTGTTAAAATGTAATATCAATCGATGGACCATTATGCACACTGACATACCTTCTCTTGAGTTGCTTTTTCAAGGAAGCGACAAACAAATCGCCATACAGTGACAAAGAACTGTGGCATGTGTAAAAGGTAACAAGTAGCTAAACGCTCAGGGTAGTAAGCCTGTAGAAAGAAACTGTGTGAAATACAGCTAGCAGCATCAATATAACACGCGTAATTTTAAGAGGCGCAAGGTCAATTTTCAGAGATTTTAAGTCAGCGGAGTTTATCAAAACAATTCATTACACCAATGGCACCTCATAGCGCATGCAAAAGCCTTAACTATACCTCAAATGTGAGAGTTCAATACCAGCTACATATAACAAATACAGTCTAGTAAGTTATGTTCTACTAAGCTGTTAATCTTGACTCTTTGAACTGTCTTATAGAGGACAAGAGACATATAAGGTTCTCAGTTTCTATTTAACATTGTCCGTTGCATGGTACAATCATTATGTCTCACTTCATAACACTGTTTATGTGTGTCTCTATAGTGATAGTTTTCACAATATAGAAAGACAAAGGGGTTACCTGTAAAAACTGAAAACCGGTGATTAATCCACGAGCATCAACATTGCTATAGGTAATATTCTGGAGATCAAGAATTCCAATAAGTTTCTCATTTCCTATTTCTCTACCTCTGAAAGCGCTGAAACAAGCACAAAGAGGTACAAGTTAGAAAAAGAACCACGATTCTCAGCACAACAAACATATTTAGAGAGAAAAAAAACGGAGGAACTCAATAAGTCTCAAAGTCATAAAACCTCTAATGGTAGGACTCTTCCTGGATATAACTTGCTATTTACCAAATTACTGTGAACATCAAGTACTTTAAGGAGAGGGAAAACTTTCTGTTTCTAGAATACAAGTAATAGCAAATATTTGTACAATTTACAAAATCTGATACATGGATAGAGATTTAGGAAAATGATAACTCGGAAATTTTTTCTACTCTTTATCTGGATGAACGCAATTGAGATTTGGGTCATTTTGACGGTCATTACTTGCTAGAAGTTGGAGAAGCTAGAATTTTACCCACTACAGAGCTCCAAAAATAAGTGACTGACCATGCACAGACAAGACCTCAATTGATTCACCAGATGAAATCTACAATTTAAATTGTCTATCCTTAGATCCAAGGTAATAATCAACCAGAGTTTTTTACCAAATGAAATTCTGCTCCAAAGATAAATTTGCCAGGCTATATGATTACGACTTAACTAGCGTCTATTCTCTTCTATACTTGTGCCCATTTCACCCTTCCAATTTTCTGCATTCACCTAACATAGGAGCACGCAAGCATGCTACTCGCATTGATAATTTCATCCTGATAGATGCTAAGCCACTTTTAGGTTCTTCTAGATGCTCATTTTCTTCATAAATTGTAAAGGTAGAACTTGCGCAACCACATACAAGGGGCTTAACGTTTAATGGTAAGAAGCCTCAATTATTTTCCCACCTTCCTAATTCATCACAAGATAGGGGTAAGGTCTGTGTACACATTACCCTCCCCAGACCCCACATGTGGGACACTGAGTATGTTGTTGTGGTTGTCTTCATAATCCATCAACTCTATTGCATCAGATAACAGGAGAGAAATAATTCCTCTGCACTTTCTTTTTGTGCCCCTTTAAACATCACTATCACTGCCCATACAAAAGAGAAGGTCTACCTAAAAGCAATCCTCTTCTTTAGGCACTGTACTCTATTGATGATGATAAATCTCCAGGAATTGATGGCTATTATAATGCCTGCTTTTTTAAGAAATCATGGCCCATTATTAAGGAGGAAGTGATTGCAGCTGTAAAGAACTTCTTTACAACAGGTAAGCTGTACAGAGCAGTCAACTGTACTGCAATCACTTTAGTCCCAAAGAATAGTAATCCAGCTAGAATCAGGGAGTACAGACCAATTGCGTGCTGCACTATTTTATATAAACTCATAGCAAAGATCCTGGCCTCAAAATTGCAGGAAGTTATATCCTCTATTATTTGTGAAGCCCGGGCTGGGTTCGTACCAGGGAGAGATAGCAGATAACATTATTCTGGCACATGAACTTGTAAAAACCTATTCTAGAAAACATGTCTCGCCTAGGTGTATGATCAAGATTGATCTACAAAAGGCTTATGATTCAGTTAAATGGATATACTTGGAACAGGATATGATGGAACTGGTTTTCCTAGTACATTTAGTAATTTACTGCATGGGTAATGGAATGTGTGTGGACTGTGAATCACACTGTTATGATCAATGGAGAGCCAACACACCCTTTGATGCAGCTAGAGGCCTCAGGCAAGGTGACCCAATATCACCCTTCCTGTTTGCTATTGCAACGGAGTATTTAAGTAGGAAGCTGAATGAATTAAAAGAAAACAAGAATTTCAACTATCATCCTAGATGTGCAAAATCAGGAGTCACTCATTTATGCTTTGCGGATGACTTACTGTTGTTTGCTAGGAGTGATCAAGCGTCTATAGCTGCGGTACATCACTGTTTCCTCGAGTTCTCTAGTGCCTCTGGACTACAAGCTAATCTGAGCAAGAGATCAGTGTACCTCAGAGGAGTTTCATTGGAAGAAAAGGAGAGAATCTTGCAGCAACTAGGATTTGTATATGGGGAACTACCTTTTAAATATCTTGGCATTCCTCTAGCTACAAAGAAAATGTCTTTTATCATTCCTTCTAAAGTTCTAAAAGCCGTAGATTCATATTGCAGAAGCTATGTTTGGTCTGGGTCAAATGTCATTTCAAAGAAGGCTTTGGTTGCGTATGTGCACCTAAATCTACTGGTGGATTGAACCTCATTAATCTACAGGTTTGGAATAAGGCTGCCATGGTGAAAAATAACTGGGATTTAGCTCACAAACAGGACAAGTTATGGATCAAATGGCTCCATACTACATCAAAGGGCAGGATTTTAATAATGTTGTTGTATCCCAGCAAGCTTGCTGGATGGTCAGGAAAATCTTGTGTGCTAGAGCATGTTTGGAGCAGATGCAAATCAAAGATGCAGGGAAGTGGAACCTGATAAGGCAAATCTATATACAACTACTTGGCAACTGCCCTAGAGTAGCTTGGAAATGCTTGATATTCAAAAATGATGCTAGGCCAAAAGCGAAATTTACAATGTGGCTCCAATTACAAGGAAGGTTACTAACCACAGATAGACTAGCCAAATGGGGACTGAATGTGGACTTACGATGTGCCCTGTGCCAATCTCATGATGAATCAAGAGATCATTTATTTGTGGAATTTGAGTTCACTAGATTCCTGTGGGCTAAGATGATACAGTGGCTGCAGAAACAAATCCATGTTGGTGCTACCTGGGAACAACATCTTGACCGGGCTATCAGGAATGCTAAAGGGAGATCACTAACGGCTCAAATTTTCAGAATGGTTTATGTGGAGTGTATCCATGGCTCCATGCCATATGGATGGAAAGAAACCAGAGGATTTTTGAGAAGAAAAGTAGAAGTGGGCAATGCATAGCTAGAGAAGTTGCCTATATATGTAATGTTAGAGCTTCCTCTGGAATGAAAATTGTTCTGCGGAAGCTTATTTTCTAGAGGCTAGTTCATGTGTTTAGGCGAGTCATAGAGTAGGAGTATGTCAGATGAGATAGTTCGCTGTGCAAAAAGCTTAGCTATGGTTTTGTAATGTCTCGCTTGATGATAAATAAGAAACTGTTAGTTACCAAAAAATAAATCCTCTTCTTTAGATAGCATTACTTCACTAAGCAGATATCATTATTATCAGTTCTTGGACATATAAGAGAAGAAAGTTTCTATCATTACTTCACCCCTCATTGAATAGACAGATATTAGAGTGACTAAAACAATAAAATGCAAAAGTAGCATGTAAAAGGATCTATAATCCCATGCAGAAACAGAATAATGCCCAACAAAGAACCATCATAACCAGTCTGCTCATTCTATTTGTAGTCAAACATATGCATCCATTTCTCAGAATGTCCTCTCTCTCTCTCTCTCTCACACACACACACACACACTCTCTCTCTCTCTCTCACACACACACACACTATGTCTCTCTCTGGCTGGATAGAAATATCAGCACAAATCTCTCTGTTCCTTCTCTCTCTCAAGCACTTCCTCAAACAGACACTTCGATTTACATAAAGCAAGGTCAATTTTACAAAGTTTTAGAAGTAGTTCCTCATGTGCAATTTTCCAAATGTTCAAAGAGCAACATGGTTGAATGAAAATGATACCTTGCAATTGTTTTGTCTAGTAGATGAACCACGAATTCTGCAAAAGAGGCAAATGTGTCAGTACTAACTTTATTGTTAAGAGCCATCATTAGCATCCTACAGAAAGAAGAAGGAAGCATTCTGAAGGATTTATTCAAGAAATCCCCTTACCAGTCACCATAATTAATTTCTCATTTATATTACCAGAGATTAGGGCGGATACAAGAGAAAAAGATAGCGTAAAATGATTCATTTACGACACTGCAACTTGGTAAACACTATGGATTGTTGCTATTTTAGTGAAAAAGCCTTAACCAATGTTCCTTAATAGCTCAAAATAGATCCTTACTGTATCGGATGTTTGTCCTTAATTAATGTTCCTTAATAACTAAAAACAGTATTTTCGGAATTTAAGAGTTCCCATATCCCTTTTACAGTCATTTCACCAAGTAGGAAGTTCACCTATAGTAGGGCGTTTAAAGGACTGCTATAAAAAAAGAAGCAGCTATAAGAAAAGGGCCAGAGCAAAATTCTATATATAGGAAGAACATCAATTTATTGCATGCCAGAATAAGCCAACAAAACTACACACCTAGACAACCATATTGAGCACTGAGACCTTTCAAATTTCATTATCAGTCCGACAAGGTAGTGTTTAACTAATCTATTAACAGAAAAATTAGGACAACAATTAAGGAAAAAGCTAAGTGAACAAGTAACTCAAAAGATCAATGTAAGAAACAGAGAAGGGGACAAGCAGCACATGTGAGGAGTTTGGACCTTGAGCCGTTTTATGATGGACAAACATATGATTAGGCCCGCCAAACCAACAAATCATTGCTCACCTTTGCAGTTAAGGTGGCAAAATCAGCCCATTTTTGGTAAATCCGCCAACCCGTCTAATATTAGGTTGGTTGGGTTATGCATTTGTTGACTTGACCCAATGGATTGAATCTGAAATGACCCATTAAACTATTTGGTTAAAATAGTGTAATCATGCGGGTCAAAATGCAACCTAAACTCAAACATCAAGAATCAAATTCAAACATTGAGAGTGGTTCTGATGCCATTGATACAACCTACGAAGAACCACACCCCAAAAGCTAGCTATTTAGGTGGGAGAGCCCAAGACTATATTAACCCCACAAAAAGCTGCAAAGATGTTTTGTTGAAATTTTGTGATTTTTAACATATATATCTATGTTCAGTATCAATTAGCTCAAAAGCTACATCTGCCACTGATGCAATGTAGTGAAAAAAGAAACTTTATTCTGAGGGAGAAAATAAATTACTCTTGAATTGAACTTGATCCTTGGAAGAAAAATGCTTGTTAACTTTGACAATCATAACAGGGTGCCCATTTTTGGATAATCCCTGCAAATAAATTTTTTTAGCTTCTAATTCATCAGCAACTTCAGAATCGGAGATGTACCCAATTGGAACCATTTCTGCCCTCCATTTTTGCCACTGACTAAACATCTTTGCAGCTTTTTGTGGGTCCATTGATCTTGCAATCAAGAACCTCATTAGTGTCTGTTCTCCATAACCCTGCACAAAAAAAGGAAAAAAAAATGATTATCAGTAAAAATTAAGAGTTGAACTTTACACTTAAGAGGAAAGAATTAGGGAGTCAATTGTGCTTACATCAGTGGAAGAACCAAGGTTTTCAACTGATTTCCTCATTTGGGTCAATCCTATTTCTTCATTTGTGTCCATTTTTAGGAATCTCCGGGGAGGGGAAGGCAAAGGGGAAGTTGATGCTAAAGAAGAACAATAAACTTAACAGTGATTATTTGTGAAGTTGAAAGTTCAAAGTTGTGGAAAACAATACAAAGAAAACTCAAAAGGAGTCAAAGAAACAAGGAGTAAGATAGTAAATGAGTATTTAATGCAATATGCTAGAAATAATGGCTGAAGATGGAGAGAGAACCAAAGGAAGTTATGGAGTAGAAGAGAAGAAGTGATGCTATGACATTATTTTTGGGGAAAAATAATTTATGTTTGACTAAATAATCTGAAAAGCATTTTGGAGTATCAATTTGTGTTTGGTCAAACTTTTTAAAAAATATTTTTAAGTATCAAATTACGAATAATGACATGAATTAATTTACTAAATAATTAATGTTATAAGTAAATAAATAATCTCAATTTTTTTTTATTAAAGACAATAATTAAATATTTTTATTTTATATAAGTAGAATAGGAAAATAAAATTTAAAAGTACTTTAATTCTTTTAAGATGATTTAAATATATTAAAAAATCATTCAACAATTATAAAAATATTTACCCTTGAAGTCACTATATATTAGAAAGTTATTCTACAAATAAGAAGAAACACGTATACATTAATATCCTAAGTATTAGGTCCCAAATAAGTAAGGTTATTTTGGAGGTCATATCTTTGTCTTGTTGTTTATTTTCCCACGAAGAGTTTTTCTCTCTCTACAATTATTCCTTCCCCCTAGATGGCCCCGCCCCCACCCCTCGTACAAGACCAACTATCACCACCAACACTAAAATCTCCCAATCCACCAGATATCAATTCAACACCAATGAAAGTTGAATCAACTCCAAAAGAAAAGGTTAGCACCTTTAAGGAGATACTAGCAGACAAGAACTTGAAAAAATCAAGCACATACCACACCTAGTACCACCAACCAGAGACAACATTCAAATCCACCACAGACGACACAGTTGGGCCCATCATCCTCAGCCAAGAACAAAAGAACAAACTATACCACCCATGGTGTTTCTCATTAATCGTCAAGATCTTTGGGAAAATAATTTCGCACCACCTATTGAAATTAAAATTACAACATATTTGGAATCCCAGTGAGCAACTAACACTAAGAGATCTAGGTTGGGATTTCTTTGTGGTGAAATTTGAGAAAGAAGAGAACATGATGATTGCACTGCACGGAGGCCCATGGTTAATCATGGGACATTTTCTCTCCGTCAGAAATTGGGAACCGAGCTTCATTCCGGCGGAATAAAAAATACACGCCACCGTCATCTGGATCCGACTTCCCCAATTACCCACAAAGTTCTATGATAGAGAGATCCTGAAAAGGGTGGGGAGAAGGGTTGGTAGGCTGCTGAAAATCGATACATGCACTTCTGCCACCTTAAGAGGCAGGTATGCACGAATCTGCATCCAAGTACCCATCGAGGTACCACTCCAAACGATGGCACTAATTGGTGAACATAAACAACCAATCAAGTATAGGGAGGGCATCCTGTGCAAGGTGTGTGGGCGACTGCGCCATCTACTCAAGAAATGCCCACATAAACAACATATAGGGGAAAATGACACATCAGAAATGTCGTCAGCAGGACACAGTACCAAAGAGGAGGACGACTGAAAAGTGGTGGAGTTCCCACAGAAAGCAAAACGACAAGGGAGAACGGATAGTTTCAAAGCCCAGGTGTGACCGGAGGTAACATAGAAGAAAGCTGGGAGCGGAAAACGGCCACTAGATTCAGGTAAGTTCTCTGTCCTTAGTAGCACTGATGATGGTGAGGGCGGCAGCAGGACTGTGGAACATGGCGGCACTAGGGTTGTGAGAAATATGGGCCAAACTAAGTAGGCCCAACAGACGCCACACGGGCCTCGTCTAACTAACCAAGATACAATTGTCTGATCCTCTATCGCACAGCCCAAACCAACTGCATAATTTACTACCTGTGCCTAGTTTAGAACACATGTTGGGCACATGCCCCCTCACACACGCACCTACTGCCTCTCACGCGGCCTAAGGGAAGAAACACGCACCCATGTCGGGTATGGAAAATATCCAAAATGTAATCCCAAATCTGATACCCCGAAGCACTCACACAAGTCAACTTCTGGGGTCCACCTAAGGGGCTAAACCTGATCTCTCTAACAATATTACTAATACTGTGCAAGGGGAGAAGGATTTAATTATGCTTACTCACTCTCCCTCTCACACTATAACCAACCCTATGCCTCATCATCACTCATCCTCTACTGATTTGACTGACGTCGTCGCCTCTCAAAGATTTCTAGTGATGAGAAATCTTCATACATAGAAACCCAACGGTGAAGGCCCTTGCTTAAAAGGAAACGAATGCACAACTGTTGAGGTAAACTCCACTACCGATCTAGACACTAACAATGGATGGGAAGCAAAACAACCCAACAAATAATAGCAACATGCAGAGCCAGGGGGGGACCAAAATCAGATAAAGGTATCATCTACCCCACTCCACATGGACCACATTCCAACCTCATGGTTGGAGATGGCAATGTAGGGTATTGCTTTCCCCTGAACTTCTTGATAGGGATAATGCCCATCTTAGTGGTCATTCAAAAACCACACTACTTGGCCAAACTGGTCACAACCAGTCTAAAACATGCACTGCTGAACTATGGTCACCAACTGTGGTTGGCAACTCTCATGCAAGCTAAGTATGCATTGAGTCAGCAAATAATGACAACAGACCAGTTGAGCCTCCTCATGCAGCAGATAAGCCACACCCTACCCTTCTTCTCACTAGTCTCCCCAGGGGAGGGGATCTCCAACCCTTCTTTCTCTACATGGACACCAGTAAGGACAATGAACCCATCTCCAATGATAGGGCCAGAAAATGTCCACGAGCACTTAGAGGCCACCAACATAGAGCTAGAGAAAATGATAGCAAGGTTGGGAGTGCTAAATACCAAAGATATACTTTTACAACAGGAGGAAACAATAAAGTTCAGAGGGCCTGGGGAGAAATGCTTGTCGTACTATGCCCAAAAATCATGGTAATATGTGGAGTAAGCCTAAGATCAGCCTTAGAGCCAAACTCAAGAGACTCAGCTGCAAACCTAAAACCAGTAATGGCCCGGTTAACTCCCTAGATTCCACCTGGGATGGAGAACCCAGAGAGCCAAACACTGAAGGGGAAATCCAAATGCAAGAAAAGGAAGCCACAAACCAACCCAAGGTTACTGATGAATTTCATTATCTGGAATGCTATGAGGGATAATAGTGGGAATTTAGGAGACATTGTGTAGAGATGGTTAAGCTACACAAGCCTGCCATGCTGGTCCTCTTGGAAACTAGGATGACTGAGCACAAACACCTCATTCAGGAGCTGGGATTCACATGGAAAATTCAGAACCATGTTATAGGCCTGTCAGGAGGCATTGTCATCATGTGGAAAGATGACATGCTGAAGATTGATGAAGTCTCCACCACTCCATAGGGCATCAATGTCATGGTCAAGGTAACTCCCTCTTCCAACCCTTGGCTTTTGACTACAATTTATGGCAGCAATACCCATGCTAACATAAGGGTTATATGGGACCAACTTAGAACTATCTCTGATGTCTACAAGGGGAGCTGGTTAGTAGGGGGACTTCATTGAAGCCTAAGGGCCAGAGATAAGCAGGGGGCAATTGTATATCTACTCCACGAGCAAACTTGTTCTAGCACTGCCTGAATCACTATAAACTCATTGACTTAGATTTTAAGGGTAGTAAATACACTTGGATTAACATGAAGTATAGGAATATGAGTCAGCTAATCATAAAGAGACTAGATAGGAGTTTTGCCAATGATGAATGGATCCAAGATTACCCTTTTAGTAATATGAGTTACTTCCCTAGAACACACTCTGATCACTGCCCTATGCTGATCAGCTTGCGGCAAAATGCTCCCTATCACATCCAAACCTTTTATGTTTGAACTCATGTGGTGTAGCCACCCATCCTTCTCCAACAGGCCTATGAAGGGTGTGGTAGCCTTGAAAAAGGCAATGCCTTGTTCCAGTCCCAAGTGCTGACCTAGAACAGGAATGTGTTTGGAAATATGTTCTATAAGAAGAAACACATTAATGCCAGACTTGGGGGCATTCAAAAATCTAATGCCTACCCCTTTAACATCTTTCTTTAGAATCTAGAAAGTCAACTTCTGGAGGAATATTCCTCTATTCTCAAAAGTGAAGATGTCTTTTGGAAACGAAGTCTAGGATCAACTGGCTGATAGAGGGTGATGCTAACACTAGATTCTTCCATGCATCAACCCTCAATATGAGGAGAAGAAACAAAATCATGGCCCTGCAAGATGAAGTAGGGAATTGTATTTAGGAGAAACAGGAAATCCAGAACACCATTTACCACTACTACTCCAAGTTGTTCACCACTGAACATCTAGGCTCTCCCACACCCTAGAAAAGCATTATCTATAATGCCCATACTCTGTCCAATAGGGAGAAAGCTACTCTGAATGCCTCCCTAAAGAGTAGTGAAATAAAGGTGGCGATGTTCTCTTTCAAACCTACAAAGGCCTCTGGACCTGATGGTCTACACCCTTTCTTCTACCAAAGATACTGGAATACACTGGAGAGCAAAATAACTCAGTTCTGTAATTAGACTTTTAATACCCTAGAAATGAAGCGTGAATTTAATACCACCTACCTCTATCTGATACCTAAGTGTGCCAATGCCACACTCCTTAAGAATTTCAGACTTATTGGGCTATGCAACACAATGTACAAGCTGATTACCAAAATCATTGTCAACAATCAAGCTTGTCCTCCCTTCCATAATTGACCCAAGTCAGGCCAATTTCTTGTCCAACAGAAGGGCCAATGATAATGTCATCATAGTTCAGGAATACATCATCCACTTCACTAAAATGAAAGGGATAAATACTAACATGATCCTCAAAATTGACTTAGAAAAGGTATTTGACAGAATATAATGGTCATTTATTAGAGACACTTTGGTGTCTTTTGGTTTTCCCCACAATATGACCAAATTAATCGAGTCCTGCATTTCGTCAAGTTCTATTTCTGTCCTGGTAAATGGGGGTATGACTGATTTCTTCTAGCCTAATAGGGGCATCAGACAAGGGGACCCTATATCCCCTTGTATTTTTATCATGTGTATGGAAAGGTTATCTAGAAGTATTGAGGCTCAAGTGCAACATGGTGATTGG